GAGCCAAAGTCAGGCTGTTATATTTGTGGTGATCCAAATCACTGTGCTGTCAGTTGTCCTAAGCATTATAAAAGTTCCAAGCCTCAGATTAAGTTAGCTACTATGTTGGCATGTGATGGGAATAGAAATAATGATTCACAAGAAATCAGTACTGCTTGTGTAGTCCATGAAGTCACAGATGCAAGTAGGCATCTATGTTTACAGGGACGAGATATAGTTGAATTAAAATATAGCCATGAGCTGCCAATTATTAGTGTTGCCAGTGTTGCACCAGCTAATAGTATAGATAGTGGTATACCTGTTGTTAAGGTTTTATTGGCAGTACTGAGGTAGAGGTCCTTCGTGATAGTGGGTGGAGTTCAGTTGTAGTTGTTCAGTAGTACATAGAGCGGTGGTGAAGGAAAGTCAATTGACTGGGGAGAGTCATACCTGTGTGATGATGGATGGTACATGTCGGAAAGCCCCAGTAGCTAGACTATATATAGATATGTATATATATCTGTGTATGAGGACCCCAGTGTATGATCTTATTGTTGGTAATATTAGTGGAGCTAGGGACCCCAATGATCCTGATTCTGGTTGGAAGCTAGGTTTAGCTCATGAGGTAGGGCATGGTTAGGTTAGTTCTCCCTCGGGTGATGAACAACATACTTCTTCGAGTGATGGGACTAGTGTGCCCTCTATGGATAAAGGTTGTTGAGACAAGAGAGACTTCAGTTAGTGGGAGTGGTTGTGAACCTCAATTGATTCCAGTCAGGATGATAGTGTTGATGTTGTACAGGTGGTACAGACTAGGGCCCAGAAGTTAGCTTAGAAAAAGTCATTACATAGGCATATAGTTCCTGAGTTTAAGAAATTGCATAGTAAGGTTGATACTAATGGTGGTAAGCAACCTATTACTGTGGATGCAGTGCGAGAGGCACAGCAGTCTGATTCCACATTGGAGCATACTAGGAAGTTAGTGAGTACAGGCGAGGAATTGGTCACAGATTTTGATGAATAAGGGCTGCTGTATAGGGAGTTTTAGGTATCTCATGTTGATAGAGGACTTGTGTGGTCATGAGTCAGTTATGGCAGGTCATCTGGGTGCTAAGAAGACTGCAGATAGAAGAACAACTCAGTTTTATTGGCCTGGGATGCAGAATGATGTTATTAGGTATTGCAGGTCATGCAATATATGTCAGAACACCACTCCTAGGGGCTGATACATTAGCTAGTATATATAGTAGGGTTGGTGTACCCAAAGAAGTTTTAGTTTGTATCTGACATTATAAAGGAAGTGAGTAGAGTGTTGTCTATTAAACAATTAGTAACTTACTCCATATCACCTAGCATGTCACGGTTTGGTTGAGCAGTTTAATGCCACTTTGAAAAGTATGTTGAAACGCATGTGTCAAGAACGGCCCAAGGATTGGGATAGGTATCTTGACCCAGTACTGTTTACCCATATAAATGCTCCTCAGCAGAGTTTAGGGTTCCCCCATTCGATCTTATTTATGATAGAACAGTGAGGGGCCCAAAGATGCTTTGGACAAAGGAGGCCCCTATACCAGAGGTTAAAACTACATACCACTATGTCTTTGATTTGGAAATCGCCTTGAAGAGACATGTAAATTGGCTCAAGCTGAGTTAGCTAATGCAAAGGTTTGATACAAAAAGTCTTATGATAGGAAGGCCAGGAATAGGAAGTTCTAATCTGGTGACAAAGTGTTATTGTTACTTCCACAATAAGTTGCTGATGCATTGTCATGATGGCCATGATTTGAATGTCGACAAACAATTGAGAAAATTTATGAGGAAATTTTCTGATATACTCACTGATTGTCTCGGAAAATCTAAAATTGGCGAGCATGATATCAAATTGGTAACATGTGAACCAGTTAGATCAAACCTTTACCAATCGCTATGACCGATGTAGTGATGTCAGAGGTTAAGAGCATGTTAGAGATGGGTGTAATTGAAGCATCAAATTCACTTTATGCCTCACACATTGTTTTGGTAAATAAGAAATAAGGTGTATTAGGTTTTGCATTGATTTTCATAAACTCAATCACATTACAGTGTTCGATGCAAAACCAATGCCATCACCTGAAGACCTATTTTCCTGATTAAAAGAGGGTCGGCACTTCACCAAAATCAGTTTCGACGCATGCCTTTCGAGCTTGTTAATGCACCAGCCTCTTTTCTCCGTATGATGCATATTTTGTTGGTAGATCTTGATGGTAAAGTTAAGAATTTAATTCATGACATTTAATTTATTCAACATCCTGTGAGGAACATGAACGTTTTGGCTTGTTAAAGAAAGGCAGGGTTAAGCGCAAGACCTTCTAAGTGTTTATTGGTTACCAGGTAGGTGACGGTAATTTGCAAGTATTACCAGATAAAATAGAAGACATACAGCATGCAACCAGACCTGAAACAGCAAAGCAAGTAAGGTCATTTTAGGCATGACTGGATACTATCGCAAATTTGTATCAAATTTTGCTACAATATCAGTTCCTCTCAATGATTTGACCAGAAAATGTCAGCCAAGAAAAGTAGTCTGGGGAGAACCCCAGGAACGTGCCTTTAAACATTTGAAAGTTGTTTTGAGTAAGCAACCAATTTTAAGGTTGCCTGATTTTACTAAGAGTTTTATTTTGAGATGTGATGCATCAAAAGTTGAGCTTGGTGCAGTCTTAATGCAGCAATATGAGGAAGGAAAATAGTGGCATAAGCAAGTCATAAATTGCTAGCCAGAGAGAAGTCTTATTCTGTAATTGAGTATTTGGCAGTGATTTGGGCATTGCATAAATGTCACCAATATTTATATGGTAAAGAATTTATTTTAAAGACTGTCCACCAGCCACTAATGTATTTAAACAAGGAACGAGAAGAAAACAGTCGTTTAATGCGGTGCACCCTATATTTGCAATCATTTAGCTACCACATTAAAGCAATTAAATCTGAAGAATGAGAATGCTTAGAATTACTGTTACAATATTTTTTTTCCAATTTTGAGAAATGTAAATTTATTGGCAGTTGATCTTGATTATTGAACTGAAAATGTGCCGTGTTCAGTCTTGAAGAGGGGGCAATATTAGAATCCTTTATTCTATGTTTTTATATATATATATTACCTCCAATTCTGCAAATAGAAGTGTGTATAGAAACATGGGAAGAAACGGTGTGCATTGCTGTGTGATAACTGCCATGAAGGTGATTGACAGGTCATACTTGTTCACAACTCTTGAAGGACAATTGAAATATACTAGGTGTGCTTGTGATTCACATTACAAAGGATGTGAGATAGCTGCTAGCAAGACTACATTCTGATTGGCTCATGTGGAAACCCAGATGGTGTACCTGAATCTGGGCCATTTATGCCTATAAATAGGCAGAAGACAGGAGTACCCTGTGTGTTGCTGCTGCGATATTGTGAGACAAGTGATACAGGCTTCAACCATCATTCTGTGAGACTTGTATGAACTGCTCTGCGATCTCCTAGAACAATCCCCTATTTTAGCGAATTTATTCATTGTATTTTTCTGTGCTTTGTTTCTTGTAATTATTTTGAGAGGTGTTTAAGCCAGGTGCTTTAACTCAATATTTTGGTGTATGTGTATTTCATTTCCAGTATTATTGTCTTATCATTCTGCCCCTCTCTATAGCAATAAGCAGGCCTTACACTATGAACAATGGTGTGAATTATCAAAGGTCAACACAAATTTGCGAGAAAATTTATCGTCATAGCAAATTAACAAATTATCACCAATACCAATGAAAACATGTCTTGCCAAAATGCGTAATGTGTCAACTTCTCACTGTTTACCAATTTGAGGTACGAGTGAAAGTACTAATACTACAGTAAATGTAAATGTTGTCATACTGCAAATCAAGTACGCAATAGTTGCATTCAAGAAACAAATCTTTATACCAAAGAAATTTTAAATTTTCAGTTATCTTTTTTGTAATTTATTGACAAACATTGCGTCAATCGTAGCATGGTACATGTTTGAACGTGTATTGTGCAACTTGCAAGAAAATATGATCAAGAACAGGTCAGAAAACATAAATAGTCCGTCGCAGTAATGAATAACGGACCGGTCGCTGTATCCCACATGGCATCCTTGGCACAAACATGTGCGAATTAACATAGAACAGGAAATTTAGTTTTTAAAGGCAATTGAAAAGTTTACCCGAGTATCGAACGACCTTTTCCAGGCATTTTCCCTGGCTAACTTTTGATTGAGATGATTTTCTTCAAAATGAAACTCACGCCAAGCAACACGATCTCTTCCTTGCACGTTGTAACTGTTAATTATTTTCTCCAGTCAGTACGCTGACGGCCAATATAAAACGCTAGCTGTGATTGGCTGTAGCTTATAGCTTTATATAGGCATTGGGTCTTTCGCGATTAAAATAAATTCTAAGTATAAAGTAAAGTAATAAAGTAAAAGAAACTGTATAATAAAATAAATTATATATGTATTTAAAAAAATAAAGTCCAAACTAGGATCTTATTTGAATAAGATTGTAGGTAAATACATCGTCAAAAAACGTCTCTTATGAATACAACCAAAACCATGAGTTCAATACATTTTGATATAAAAACGATCTTTACACACTGTATGCTACGTAATTGATATGGCACGAGAGAAGAAATTGGAGAAGAGTTGGGGGTAATTTGTTGTATCCAGAGAACTTTAATATAGTTAATTTTGAAAGGTAAAAGATGCGAAATTTGCATACGAGTGCGTTCTGGTTTCAATCATTGCGTCAATGATAGTATTTTTTACTTTAGATTACTTTTCATTACATTACATTCCAATTAATTGAAAACATACCGAGCGCAATGGACATATACAAGGGTTCTGGTGATTGTGTTCAACATTGTATGTGGTTATCATTTCGTCTTTGATTTACACAAATGTCAAAAACATTTAAATAAAGAAGACAATCCATATATTTACACTAATATTTAATATTAAATCATAACTAGATGAATGTATGTGTAACAACTATTGTTGATTGAAGCAATATTTACCGTTTATTTTATTATAATCTGCTGCAAACACTCGTTCACCAAATCCTGTGTACTGATCAATAAATGTCTTAGAATCACTGTTGAATACAATGACTCGTCCATTTTCTCTATCAGCTACAAACAGACGATTGTGATCGGCATCCAAAGACAGACTGTGCGGTACCTTAAAAACATGTGGTGCTGGAAGCCCAGGAGCTGCAAAACATTGAATTCATCACAGTGTGTTTACCACTGATTTATTATATTAGTGTAGTATTTTTATGTGAAAATGAATGACATTTGTTACTCACTCTGGCCATAGATTTTTCCAATCAAATCCCCCATTTGATTAAACTGTAGGATACGCGAATTGCAATACCTACAAAGATATAAACATGTGTGTTGATAATAAGCCATATTTATATTGATCGTTGACGGCTCGGGAGCCATGCGACTTGTTTTTTCTTCTTCTCGAAATACCACGGTTTCAATGGCCAGGGAAACAGTAGATGTATTGACGTGAAAGAATGGAGCACTATTTGGGAGAAACCAATCTCGTGTTTCTCCCGCTTCCAATGAGATTTCAGCGTCAATTTAGGAATCAAGTAGAGTGTACCAATCTTTACAATAGTTATTCATAATAGTTCATTCCTGAAATGTATTTTATATGGATAAAGCATGAAAAGTTATTATTCTATACCCATCAGATACAAAGAAGTTTCCATCACGAGATACAGCGACATCCGTCGGTGAACAGAAGTGTTTATCATCGCCCCCAGGGACAAAGCGCACTCCTAAGGTCAGCAACAGTTGTAAAGTGTTAGAGTATTTAAATACTTGATGCATGGCGACGTCAGTTAGCCAAATATTATCTTCGTGATCAATAGTTATTCCATGTGGTAAGTAGAATCTAGTTGTAAAAATAACTGCATATAATTATATGCATGATTAGGGCAGCAGCTTACATGTAAATCATAATCTCCTTTGTATATGTTTATGGTATGCGATATTCCTGGATATTACAGGGTTAATTATAGTTGTAGAATGTAAGTAGCGACAGAATTTCACAGGTTGGATAGGTCGTCCGTTAGAATTTATTATCAGTTGGGTGAATATGATTTTATTGTTCCTATTATTCGATAACAAAGTTTATTCTCAATAAACGCGTGCAACGAAAGTCTTGTTTGTCAATAAGAACTCACTTGTCAGCTCCCCAGCTTTCCATTATCGCCCCGGTACGAGAGTCCAATGTTAGTATAACATTTTCTGGAATTGGACCTTGAAGAATCTCAGTAAACACGTTATTATTATCGAAAGAACTACAAGAAAGAATAAAAGATTGAGGTGAATTCACAGTGATAACTGTACATGTGATGAGGTATGTATAATATGCAATATGCTTACGGTTATGCATATCGTACAGAAGGAGTATGGTTAGTTGATAAGATAACACGTGGTTCAAGTAATCGGTAGCCAGTTGCTTTGGTTCACGGAGTCACGGACATAGAAAGTCGTCTCCACGTGTGAGAGACTGTGCAATGCATGATTGTTTGGGTATGCATATTCATCATATGTGTAGAATATCTAATAGTGGTCACATCTTCTTTGTTGCTATTCACCATTTTAAAACATATGCTCCTAGTGTATATATTTATCAAATTTGAAATCTGGCATAACTACATTTGTAGCTAATGATTTGACAAAACTATGTAATTATGTTTTTCTTTCCCATGGTCTGGTTGCTTTAATTTACAAAGGGGACAAGCAATTGCTTCTGAAAGCGACAGGAACATTGGCAGGGTTGTGTGATTTCCCTTTAAAGGTGATGAACACACAAGATTAAGTAATGATAAGGAGTCCATAACTAATACTGAAGACTTTTTTGATGTTTCCGTTTGGTACATCCTGAAAAGTAGAATTTAGTTTTTAGATCTATTTTGTTTCCAAACCAAACCACCTTTCAAAAACATATTTAGAGAAAGTCTCAAAGTAGAACACCGATGTGTAACTTAAAGGACTTTCCATTTTCAACATTCAACAAATTTCCTCTATTATCTGTATGCTGTATTTTTCCAATTATGATTGAAAGTGTGCTAACATCAAAATCAATAAATATAATTTTACAAAAAATACTTGTTATACTTTGTTTTGTGTTGTTAAATAAGGTGAGCAATGAAGCCAGTGTGTCATGAAACAAGGACGCCAAAGTGTATTCTGTCAAAATTTGACTTGGCTAGTATTTCGCACTGCCCTTGAGTGCCATGTAGTAAGCTTCATTGATGGACATAAAATCAAATCGAACATCCATGTTTTAATACAATGATCCATAAAATAAGTATTCCTCACAGGGTTACTTAACAATGCCCTTCTGATGGAACGACCATTTTCACATGTCCCTGTAATGAAACCACAGGGCCACCCAACATTCCCCTCTGGAAACACATGGCCACTTGACAAATGTCCCTCTATTGATAAAACAACAGGGCGATTAACAAATGTCTCCCTAGAATCACAGATTCACGTAACAATACCATTCTGATGGAACAATAGGGCCAATTTGCACATGCCCCTGTAATGAAACCACCGGCCACTTGATAAATGTCTCTCGGAAACCACAGTCGTCAGGTCAATATATGGCTCCACCCCAAAAAAATTGATTCAAAAGGTTTTACAATGGATTCTGCCACTATTGAGCATGGTATATGACATACTAAAAATCTAGTAAAATCAGACTCCCAGAAATGGGTCATTTTAAAGATGGCGTCCAAGATGGCCGCCGGGAGCTAAAAATGGCTATTTCTCAATTACTATTCAACCTAGAAATGTGATTTTGGTGTCTAACCATACGTTTTAGGGGACAATGAAGCCAACTAAATCAGTGGAATTACCATTACATAATAATTTATTGACAAAACCGAACAAAAACAAAAACAATGGACCAACGAAAAAAACAATTTGGCTCTGTTAAATTGTTGTAATAACCCAGCAATAGATATATATTTTCAATTGTTATATAATTATGTTTCAGGCACCCTGACAATCATTGACATTACTTAAATATAACCACAAAGCAATCAGGTAA